CTAATTCCCCGAATTATATCTTTCCTTGAAAGGGACTGTCTTATGTAATGTGACATAACACAAATGGGTCCTGAGTTAAAGGTTGGACTGTATTAAACCTCATTGTGTAACAGCACTATACCTATTATTGTCGGGTCGGGTGAAAAAAAAAAACCTATAGAACATTAAAATTCATCTACAGTAAGGACAAGAATAGCATAGAGACTTATAGGAAACGCCCTACAAACAATACTCATGTTTCCCTCAAAGGGATAAAAAATTGTGTTAAATAAGCTAAACATTTTTATTTCTACTTATTCAGCCAACTACAAAACTCATCTCTTTTTTTGTTTACACATCTCACATCTTTCTGTCCCATTTCATTTTGTGATTATTCATCATTCAAACTCAAAACAGAGAACCTTAAGACCCTTTTTTAAGACCTGCACAAATAAAATTAATACCATATGAGTGGGGTAGGGCAATGTCTACGGTAACATATTAAACTGTAAAATGACTGTAAAAACATGATTTACAGTTCAGGTACAGGTTTTCACAAAAAAAAAAAGTTTTATAAAATGATAAACTTCACATTTTAGCATGTACACAATTTCTAAGAAAAGAGATGAGTCAAATTCAATCTCCTGCCAGCAGGTGGTGCTTTTGGAATGACAGAAATATAGCGGTTTCCCCGGCAGGACTGTAGCTGGGATTTGCGGGGCCCCGGTGCAGGTTGTACCCATGGGCCCTGTTTGAAATTGTGTAAATAGCACAAATAAATAAATAAAACAAAGATACAAATTAAACAATGTTTAAGTTTTTTTCAAGTTTGTAGGTGTCCAGGTACAGAAACTAAATAATCAAATGTAAAATATCATTGCACAGTCTTCACTGTATAAATTAAATATAGATTAATCCTTGTTAAAACCTCAAAGTAATTCAGTAAAGAGCTGTGAGCGATTTTCTCTCATTTAATTTCTTGGATTAACATTAAGGACACCGACAGCAGCTAGTAAATTAGGCATGGCCACTTTAAGAGACAATACATCCAATATAATGATACACATCCAATTTCTTTCCAAACTGTTTACGTTCACATAACTGACAGTTTTTTTCGAAGATACTCGCCATAATTTTGTATGTATCTGTTGGTTCAAGAGCAAGGAGAGGCAAAACTCTGCACGGGTGCTGAATTAAGTTTTTATGTTTGTATGTTTAAACTGGCGAGATTTATTTGTTCGTTCAGGTGCAGGAGGATGCGAAAGAAAGCTCGGTTCGATGTTTGCGCGCTGTCTGTGAGACATGGCTCTCTGTGTGGCTGAAATGGCTGGGGGCCCCCCTCAGCTGTAGTCCCCTATAATCGTCATCACCTTTCACCCCACTAGCGACAGCCCTGTTCCCCAGTAATCGCAGTCCACAAAGCAGCACAGCACATGACTTTGAAACATGCAGCGCTCATTTTTAATCAATGAAATCATAGCCTTTGTTAGGCTATTTCGCAATTCTTCAATTTCCGTCCTCAAATTTAAGACCTCTTGAAAACAAAATTAAGACTTTCTTGTACCATTTAAGACTTTTTATGGGCTTAAATTTGATACAACTAAGACTTTTTGAAGACCCCTGAAAGCCCTGTAATAATTAATTATGGCACGTAAAACAAATACAAACTTCATTTTAAACAATATCTTCTCAAAAGTTTCTGAAATTAAAACTGAATGTTCATTATACATTAACAAAGCTGCGTGTTGGATCCTGAAAAGTTTTGCTGCCGCACTCAATATGTGACCCTGGACCACAAAACCAGTCATAAGGGTCAATTTTTTTAAATTGAGATTTATACAACATATTCAATCTGATTAAATAAGCTTTCCATTGATGTATGGTTTGTTAGGATAGGACAATATTTGGCTGAGATACGACTATTTGAAAATCTGGAATCTGAGGGTGCAAAAAAATTAAAATATTGAGAAAATCACCTTTAAAGTTGTCCAAATGAAGTCCTTAGCAATGCATATTACTAATCAAAATTTAAGTTTTGATATATTTACGGTAGGAAATTTTTGTGGTCCAGGGTCACATATGTCAAAACATTTTGGCCACAGAAATATTGGCAAATATATTGATCTGACTCCTTAATATGTAGTGAAAGAACATTGTTATGGATAATAAACTTAACGTAAAATGGAAAACAAGGAAACAGTATACAACAATATTCATCCACTGTCGATCAGCCTTCATACAAATCAAAGGAAAAAAACAAAGGAAGAGACTTAAGACTTGTAAGGACAACAAATGATGTTTTCCACAACTGCTAAATCATTTATTTTTTATTTGGATAGTTATTTCTCAAATAGAAGGGTTAACAACAACCGTGAGACTGAATTATTATTATTATTATTAAGAGAATGTGTCATGTGTAATGGATATTTCGTGTTTTGCGCTCCGTCAAACGTCTTCAGCACAGAATATGAGACAGAGCATTCTGATTATCCTCATTTAACTGTTGTATATAGAGTTTGGGACACAAATAGTTTCACAAAAAACAAGTCTGCTGGAGATCAAATATTAAAGAAATGCTGCCACCTTCTGGTGACAGATCATAGTGTAGTGTACTCAAACCCAAGAGTCATCTCAACTGCTATACATTATCCATGCATCCTTACATTTAAAGGTGATAACTGGTTTTGTCTCAGAATGGAATTTAATTGTATACGGATGTGACCACTGAAGAACTTTGAGTATAGTGACTTGTTAACTTTGTGTTGATTAGTTCAGGCTTAAATTTTTAACAAACCCTCACTTTATACGCACGCATACTGCTCCTTGTTTCCAAATCAGTCTGTTTAGTCTCTGCCTCCGAATGCCACACAAAGATTATGGAATCAAAAATAGACCACAGGGTGTCAAAAAATAGCTCAATGAAACGTCATTTTCCTTTTCGGTCACTGTCATACAGTAGTTTATCTCTCATGTGTTGACATGACTTTTGCATGATCTCTTATACTAGAACTATGTGTCTGGATTCTTTGGTTTACTGTCTGACTATCAGCATGTCACTATTTTAAGCATTTGTTTGGAGCAATACAGATAAATGTACGAGAAAAATCAATGACTCAAGTTAACGCATCAAGGCACCAAATATAGACTTCATTTATGTTTGGCTTTAGATTACTATAGCTTGAATGAAATAATATCAGTGCCATTTTTTTAGCTGAAGGAAAAGAATAATAAAAACAACTCTGTACTTCTAGACTATAATTCACACTGACCAGTGCATGTACTAAATGCAACCAAATGCAATGTATTAAAAAAACAGATTATAGAGTACAAGTATAGTTTATATCCTGATGTATGTCAGCATACATTTTCTTTCTAGCATGTCTGATGAATGTAATGTGTGATATATTGTATGTTTACAATGAACAACTAATATTTTGAGTATATGCTAAGACAGTTTTAATTAAAATAATTTTGTAGAAAACCTGACTATTTTATTAAGTTTTACTTTAATTTAGATTGACTGTAACAAACCTCTAAGAAGTCGTTGGCATCTTGTTTAGTCTAACGAATGTAGTCATTCAATGCCAAAATAGAATATATATAAGCTGATGTTAGATTATTTAGTGTTTCTGATTTATTTTCTGATTTATATTGCACATGTACATGACATATTGCATGTCTGTGGAGATTCTCAGCAGGTAGATGAATGAATGTATAGTACTTTTTCAAGCTAAACTTACTTAACCAGTTTACAAAATAGAAAATAAATACTGTTGTAGGAAGCTTATAATTATTGTAATAATAAGAAGCACTTTTAACCATTCAAATGAACATGAGCCTGGACTCTATACACCTTTGGCTGGTGAATCATTCATGGCTTTGCAGCGTATGTTTTACTTCTGGTTTGCTACCGTTGTATGTTGTTGCCATATTGGAAAAATCATGGCTTAAATCAGTGGCCATAAAATATACCTTCAAAATATTTGCACTTTTAATATATTAAGAAGTAACTTGTTATCTTATTTGCAATTATGTTTGTGTACACTGCAGTGATTAATAATCAAGTGCTCTCTCACAAATGTGTCAGTTTATTAATACAATAATTGTTACATAAAGTTATCAATTTACTGAGGCCATCAGGATTAAGTACATATCAACAGACAACAAACACTTAAATTCAAACATTCGTTAGTAATTTTTTTAATATCTACTAATAAATGTTAGTTATTTTAAATACTCGTAAAGAAAAATTGTAACTCGTATTGCATTCACTGTCCTCAGACATCTGGTGCCACATGAGAATTTCATATTTACATAACATTTCACATACAGATATAACAAATACAGTTCTTACAAAAGATGTGCTTGACAATACTTTTTGAGGACTTTTCAGACTGCAGTACAATAAATGGTCCGACTAACTGATTCTATTAAAAATACCAAACGAACATTTATAAAAACATATATCTGTCTAAAACTTTTTATGTGTACGTTTTAGTACACGTTCAGTAAGCGCTCTGTGTGATTCATAAATGTTTTAATTCACTATAAAGAACCGACTCATTCGAGTCAGTCGTTCGGGAATCAGACTGCACTAGTCGCGCTGTATGTTGGTGATTCATTGTAAAGAATCGACTCAAAAGAGCCGTCTTTTCGGGATTCGAATCACAGAGGTCAGAGTTTTTTAGTAGTCTACTGTGTTCCATGTGCCTCGGATGCAAAACGTACGCTCAAAAACCATTAACTGATTAACATGATTTAATTATTATTCGGCTGTGGCATGTGTTCACGGAAGCAGTTCTCGGCCCCCAGTCCCATTTAAAACGAGCGTGTTTACATATTTTCAGGTCGAAGCTGTGGTTCAGAGAATTATGCGTTAAACATAAGATTGTAACGCACTGCCCTACACATAAGCAGCGAAAATGGTCAATAGTCAAAGATGGATCGGGTGGGAATCGCGAACTTTATCACGTATGAATCATGTCTTCAAAGAGGGCGCCTCGCTCCGCAGAATCGCCTCTTGCTGACGTTTTTTGGGCTGTCATGTGATTAGCAGGGTTCAATGAGAGCTGTTTGCCCCACCCATCTCTTCAACGCTGTCTATCTCAATGTACAATTCACTGAGAAAAGGAAATAATCGCTAAAAATACACCCTCGAAAAGGATCCATTCGCCACAATTAGGGATTCAACGCGCTCCGTCCGTAGGGAATCCATTGCTGTCGTTGTGGTGTCGGATTTATCTTCACGTATCCAAATGCACATGATCTAAGAAGGATTCAAGAAGGATACAAAGCGTAGCCTGACAGCGGACTCGGACTGCGATAACCGGTACGTTAAAATATCGACGGAATCGCTCGCATTTGCATCTGCGGTTGAAAGAACCGTAAGGATCGCCGCTCGCGTCAAAGCAAAGCCTACGGATGTGAGGAGAAATTCAAATTACAGTAACGGAGAAGACGGCGAAGGGCCTCGTTTGATTTGGACAAGCCGAAAAAAGCGATCAGTCACCGTAAGCAGAACAGGAGGGAAAACAGCGTCAATCTGAGGGGAATTTTTCAGCAGCACCGCCGTATTTTTCTCGCAGACAACGTCGTTTCGTAACGGAGTTAAAAGGTTCATGTCGACCACGGCGCAGGGCGGAATGATCCACATGCCGTCATTTTGGTGGAAATATTTATTTTTTTAATTTGTAGCCACCCTTTCTATCTCGTTCTGCCCGTCTCGTTACATCGGACAGCGGATTCGACAGCAAGACACCGAAAAGAATCGCGTTTTGTGGAGCTATTCATGATTTTAATAGGAGTCGCTCGTTATTTCGGGAAACCGACCATGGATTCGCGACGGGAAATTTGCTAATTCGCCGTCGTGGGAAAGCCGAAATCATTCATGTAACGTCGAAGGCTTCGCTGGATGCACATCCATACACAGAAATCTCATATTTTATAGCAGCAAAGCGCTCGACAGGACTCGGCCGTCTGTAGTCCGGCCTAGTGTTTTCACTACCACCACCTATTCTCGCTAATACTAGTCACTCATAGCTTTCATATTTCCCCGTGCTCCCCTCCTGCCCTTATCAGCGAAATCCGGGGAAGCGATGTGTATACAAGTATAAATGTCCCGGTTTTCCATCAAAGTGTTCTGATTGGAGGCCAATCAAGGAATTTGGATCATTTATTCATACGGTAGATACACCTCCCACCCAACCCCACCCCAAAACTTTTCTTGGGTTTTTGGGAAAATGGGTTGTTTGGGCAACAGTAAGACTGAGGACCAGCGAAATGAGGAGAAGGCCCAGCGAGAAGCTAACAAAAAGATAGAGAAACAGCTCCAGAAAGACAAACAGATCTACAGAGCAACTCATCGACTACTACTGTTAGGTAGGTTGGTCTGAAAGCTGAGGTTCTGTCACTGCTGCGAACACTTTCCTGATGCGTGTGACGTCATCGGGGCCTGTCACATTTCCTAGCGTTTTGTGTGAATTTGATTCATTTGTCCGAGTACATGATGGGGGTACACGCATTTCGATTGGGATTCCTGGGCCGTAGTAGTGGACACCTCCGGGCCTGTGGTGCTTCATCCAACACCGCTCAATCACTCCATTCATTCCCATCTGATTTATGTTGACTAGGTTTTGCATTATGGAAATATTTGGGCTCCCATGATTTTATAATTCACTCACAACTATCTCATGTTGATCCCACACTCATAAGCATACACTTACACATGCATATGCTGTTCATGAGTTTAGGGTGGTTTCTGCATCCTGCTAAATTAGCAGCGTGCTTATTACTGTACATATAGATGGAAATAACTGTTTAAGTAAACATTTCTGAATTAAGATGTTTGGGAGATTAGTGCATCATTTTTAGGTTTAGTTCTGGTAAGGGTTGCTTGCGTAGTGCTATTTTTATGGTTTAGCATTCTGGGCATCCCCAAAATGATAATAATAAGAGAGATGACATACATATTTTTGCGCTTTCCATTTGAAACAGAAACTGATTAGATCAGTTAACATATTTTTCATGCTTTAAATATTCTTAGTTTAGTTGAGCAATAGACTGATGTATTAACCAAGCCGATGAACAGAAATGGTCATTTTGCCTTTGTTCCAGAATTGTTATAGAATGATGGACTTTTTTGTTGTTGCTGAATTGAGTAATTAAAGTGAAAAATAATGAAGTTTATTTAAATTCAGCAATTTTGTGTATGTCTTATTTGCTTACATGAAACTGTAGTATGTTTATATCAGCATTAAGCCGGTCACCCTGCTCTTTAGATATCGGCATTGGCGTTATTGGCCATTTAGAAAAAAAAACCCATTGGTCTACCACCTTACTACCTTGAACCCGATAAAATCAGCAAGTGTTTTCATTTCATGGATATTTCGTAGCACGACATGAAGTTGTTTTAACTTCAGTTTGATTTGATTTAGTCTCTGTTTAAGAGACTGGTCTCGCTAATTCTGATAAAACCCAGTTCTCTAACAGTCTATTTTTTCAGATATACACATGGCCTAAAAGTACCCTATTCTAAATCAAAATCCCATGTATTCAGCATAGCAAAGCACTCTAAATCATAATGTCTGGTGTTTAAGGGATATTTCTAGAGACCCATGATTTAAGTGTGTTGTAATGATATATGATTTAGGGATGTGTACCAGTGTAATTGGAGCACACAAGTGGAATTCCTGTATGCAAACAGGCCTATTTGACACAATTGGAGCCTTGTAACAAAATATGTGTTGTGATAAAGAGGTTCCCAACTTCCCATCATACATCTGAACTGAGCGCCTAAATCTGAGGTGTTTTGGTGCTTCTGTAAAGTTAGAGTATTTGAAAAGTTAACTCTCTTCTCATATTTAGCACTTGGAAACTCGGACAACTGTGCATTGTTGACCATAAATTGTAGAATCATTCAGCTTTGTCAATGTTTGACAACTATGGCTCTAAGAGACGTTAGGTGGTGTTTCTGGATAGTTCCTTATGTTTTATTTTGCATTTCACCATTTAATTTGATGCATAGCTAACCAGTTCCTTTTTAGTTGGTTTACTTACAAGAGGATTGATTGGAGTGATATTGTTTATAATTTAATGAAAAATCAGAATCAAAGAAAGAAGCATCTTATAGAAATCTCGTGAGGTATGAAATATGGAAGCAACTGTGGAGTATTCATAATTTTAAAAAATCTTAAATTGGCGACATTTTATTTGTGTACTAAAGGACAAAATTATGATGTTCCATATAACATATTCTATGTGTTAAGTGTTATGACATTATGACTTTTTTGCAGCTGTTGCACGTTTGCAACAATAATATATGAATTTATAGACCGTTCTTTTTAGCTTTAGATTTTTAGCATGAAATTTCTGCTTGAGGTGCATGTTTAGTTTGCCATTAAAAAGAAATGCTACTGTGAAATTTAATTAATTATTCCTGTTGAATCAGGTGATATCTGACCCCCTCCTCCTCCCACATCCCTTGTGATTTATATCTTTCTTTTGCTCGTCTCTCAGGGGCTGGAGAATCGGGGAAAAGCACCATAGTCAAACAGATGCGCATTTTACATGTCAATGGCTTCAATGCTGAGTAAGTATTGCTTTCACATCTATGTACTTTCTTGATTCCACTTAAGTCAAACGCAAACTAGATTTTTATTCCATCCATAAGCATAGCCTACTGTCAAGTATGATATAGCGTATAAACAAACCCTGTTTTCATTCATCATGCCATTTTGTTGGCAACGTCGTTTTGCTGTAATGTTTTTAAGTGAAAGTTGGGTTTGGGAGGATGTTGATATCCAAGTCGGGAATCCATGTGTAATGGCGTGCTTTGTCATTGTGTTGTTCTCTTGATTTAGTGGGACATGTTATATTTATAACTTTAGAGTATATGTATTTATTGTAAGTAAAATGCAGTGCTTTATTTTGTGATGTGACAGGACATTTTATTAATGTAGCATTATATTGCTCACTGAAAGTCCCATTATAATGAAAAGCTGACTTTCAATAAGTTTATTCAATAAGTAGTATTTACCATTATGAAATGCTTAGCAGCTGGTCTGAAGCCAGTTTTGTGATTAAGTTACTATAATTTACTATACTCTAATCTAGTCCTCAATCAGTGTAGAAAGGGTGTCCAAAAATACTGCAGAGGTTACAGAAATATAGACCATCAGTATTTCGACACGGGTTCAAACTTCAATGCTGAAATAAGACAAAGGCAAATAATTGTTGCATGAATTAGTCAATAGAAACACTGTGATTGCAGCATCTGGAAAACAATTCTAATTTGATGATTAGAAAGCCAGGAAAAGTCAAGAAAAAAAGGATTAGTAATGCTATGGTGGTTTATTCTCTGTAATGTTACACATTTATGCTTTGGTAGATAGATATATATATTTGGTAAATATATTTGTGCAGTGGCCAGGACTACTTGTATCTAAAATGTTCTATACATGCATTTACTATAGTATTCAGTTAATGTAGGGTCACATGTTTGTATTTAGCTATTTTACAACAATCTGAAGCAAATGCAGCTCATCCAATCATAATTCAGAGTTTGAACTGTCAGTTTTATAATATTAGTTATAATTCTTTAGTTTTTAACTCCAGTCTTACGTAATATAACTTAATCATTTTGCATCCATTATAGTTATAGTAGTTAATTGCGATGATACACTTTTAATTTGTAGGGTATTTACCTCACAGGATTATGGAAACACTTCAAAACACAGTTATTTAATTATTATAAATAACCTTATAAAATAATATAAAACCAAAATGTATAAAATACTATAAAATCACAAATCTGTTGAATTTTCAGCAAAAATAACTTGTTGTAATGTATTACCGTGATATACTGTAAATCGATTCATACTGTGATATAAAAATTTGGTTTACCGTCCGCCCCTAAGTAGCATTAAGTTGCTTAATTCATACTGTTCACAAGATTAGTTATTTCGTTCATGTTGCCTGAAAATGAAGCGATCTGAAGTAACCAAGAGTCAATGTTTTACAGAGAGAAAAAACAGAAAATTCAAGACATCAAGAATAATATAAAAGAAGCTATAGAGGTAAGTGTTGAAGCTTCTTGAGTTGAACTAGTAATCAAAGGTGTAAAAACGTGAACGCACTGAAACTCTGATTGTCTTTTTTCCTTTACAGACTATTGTGACGGCAATGTCCGTGTTGGTACCTCCAGTCCAGTTAGCCTGTCCCGCAAATAAGTTTCGAATTGATTACATCCTCAATTTAGCCAATCAGAAGGACTTTGAATTCACACCGGTGAGTATAAAGTTATTGTGTCAACCCATCACCCCTTTTTTTTTTTTTTGTACCATCTCAATATTTTTAGCTGGACATGCACAAGACTTATTTAGTTATGAAAAACATGACATTTTAAAAAGACCGATCAAGTTTAAAAGTAAAAATGGCGATTAAGTGTGTGAGCATAGTATGTATATCAAAAAAAAATTGTGCACCTAGTTTTTGGGCTGAGTGTCATGGATGTTTGTGTCAGGCCCGTGTGTGTTTTGATGGTTCTCCTCAGTCGTAGGGCCTTGTGTGGTTTATGCAATTAAAATTAGCAGCTATTCTTTGCATAGGGACAACACATAGATTAATTGAAAAAGCGCCCCACCTCAGGGAAATGTGGGTGTGTGAACGTGTGACTCTCAGGTATAATGGTGAGGCGTTCATTACGACTGATTACTTGTAATAACCTCTAAACTCTCCCTTAAGAGGGCCTCACCTGAGCCACACACCACCCAGGACCTCCCTGCTCCCTCATCACCTAGACAGGTGCTCTGTGTCTAGGGAAAGAGGAGTGGAGAGCCGCCCTGACCTGCGCCAATGGGCCGCTTAAGATTTAATTACAGGTGATTCAAACTAGGTGGCCCTATGGACTTAAAAATAGAGAACACGAACAGCTCACCTGCTGGTTTAGACAAGGTTTTAAATAGAAACCCGTATCATTACATAAATATTTCTAGAATTATTAGATTATGGATACAATGAGTAAGAATTTTTGACACCTGAAAATTGGATAGACGTACAATGATTGTTACGCGGGATGCTGGTTTTTCTGTAAGCTACAGGATTGCCAGGATAGCTGCGTGATTCGGAGTTGATCGTTAACTGTTAAACTTCAGAATCGAGTGCAGGAAGTGGTTGTAGTTTTAGCATTACTACAAAGAAGATACTGCCCCACCCTCCCTCTCTCTCTCTCTCTCTCTCTCTCTCTCTCTCTCTCTCTCTCTCTCTCTCTCCCTCTCCCTCGGTGGCACCAGGGCCCGCTGGGAACCAGTCTGACTGGTTGATTGTGTTGCAAGCGAGAGACAAAAATAAAAAGCAAAAGCAATTATTGACATTTATAACTCAGTCATGCCACTTTAGGATATAAAGACCCATTGAAGTTTATAGACGACTGCTATTTCAGCGCTGTTACATGGCTGAGTTGTAATATTTCCATTCAAAAAAAGAAAAACTTCTGTAGCTGTGAAGCTATTGAGCTAGGAGGAAACTGGTGAAGCGTATTAGCATAACAATTGCAAAGAGAAAGACAGATGTAGACAAGCTGAATAAAAATAAAAAACACGTTAAACACATTTAAACACATTACCCTTCACCTGAAACGGTGTACGCCAGGGCTGGGCAAAGTAGCTAAAAATGTCTTTTTTTACTTTTTCATCATGCATCTCAATATTATTAATTTATTTATATAATAAATATGAAATATAAAAATGTATAATTTGTTCTGAAATTATTTTTTTCTCAGTAAGTGTGCATGTAAGACAAAAGTAAAAGCAAGGCTTTTTTTTTTTTAAATCAAGGCATTGTTTTCCATACTATTGGTATTAGTCATTTTTATTTATATAATAATGCATCACAGTTTTAACCTACATATATATTTTACTGTCATATTTAATGCCAAATGTATCCGAATCAGAAGCTTATTCATCAAATCAGTCTTTCGGATAATATGGTTTAACTGACTCACAGAAGTGAATTTGAATGGCCAACTCTTTGCATCTTTACAGCTTTACATTTCCCATTCTGTAATGTAATGTACATTTCCCATTCTGTCTTAAAGGGATAGTTCACCCAAAAATGAAAATTATCCCATGATTTACTCACCCTCAAGCCATCCTAGGTGTATATGACATTCTTCTTTCAGACAAATACAATGAGAGTTATATTAAATAATGTTCAGGCTATTCCATGCTTTATAATGGGAGTGGATGGTAGCCCAAAATTTGAAGTCCAAAAAATTGCATCCATCCATTATAAAAGAAGCCCACACGGCTCCGGGGGGTTAATAAAGGCCTTCTGAAGCGACGCGATGCGATGCGTCTGTGTAAGAAAAATATTCATATTTACAACTTTATAAACCTTAATCTCTAGCTTCCGCTAACTGTCGTTCACGAAAGAGTGGCGTCCAGCGGATGACGTAGCACGTAGTAGTAGCAGCATAAGCTCCAGTGAGAATATGCTAGTCTCGCGAGAAACCAGTTTTGTTTACAGCAAAGGAAAACCAGTGTTCTCTTGGCTTATATCGAAATCCTCCGACATTTTTCTTTACAAATCCTCGTTTTGTACTACTAATTCGTGACCGGTGTTTTGTTTTGCTCTCTCCTCTGCGCTTCCACGTTCATCACTTCCGCGTTCGTCACCCCGTTTGCCTACGTCCTACATCATCCACTGGACGCCACTCTCTCGTGAACGCGCGTACGACAGTTCGCAGAAGCTAGAGATTAAGATTTATATATAAGATTTAAGTTGTAAATATGTTGTAAATAAGACAGTGTCCTATATCACAGTATACTGTTATGATACAAAAATTCAGATACCCACAAAATAAATATTTAAGGTAAGAGCAAGTGAGAGCAGGTGGGTGGCGTGATTCTCAAGTGTGTGGCTCTTGTCCTACACATTTAAAAGCGTAGTGGCACTCCTTTTTTAAAGGAGCTGTGCCAGAGTGAATGCTACCATTTCCAAACACATCAACAAAGATCAAGTGAGACGAAGCCCCGTTCCTTGTCGGGACCACGGTGCCGGTCCTCCTTTGTCCCGTGCGGTGTGCACCGACCTGTTTGCTGTTCAGGTTCATGCCACCACATATAAACAGCTTTGCAAGGTGTGTCCCGCTTCATGTCATATTGGCTCAGATTGGAAGTTTTTCTTTTCGAACACTTTTCGATTCATGCTTCACCACCATGTCTGGATTGCAGTGGGCGGTCAGAATCGTTTAGTTCTGTCTTTAACTCCATAAATGTGGCTTTTGTTATACATGAACTGCGTACGTTGTTTGGTGTTTATGTATGTCATCCAAAAGGAGACAGCAGAAGAGCTGAGTCAATGCGTATAATGTTAATATCTACAACATAGCTTGTAAAAAAAGTTATTTATTTTGGCTTTATATCTTTTTTTCCTAATTAATCAAGAATCTATGAAATCCTAAATCGGACACAGAATTCCTCCTTCGGGTTGGAAATCGATAATTTTTTAGTAAACACCTTGCAATGTATTCGCAGACACGAGTCACACGACATTGCTCGTTTGAAAAACTAAATTTTTTGTTGCCAGTAATTCTATACAATTTATTTTTGATTTTGTAATTATTGTCCTGTTGAAATCTGAAATTTTAAACAATTTGACAGCTGTTAATAGTAGGGTTGGGTACCGAAACCACACCAGTACCTATGTAACCGGTATGTACTAGAACCGAATCAGAACGCAGATTTCGGTGCCTCATTCCGGTGCCACTTAAATGCCTGAGCGATCGATTGAAATATTTGTCCTGGTTCTCCGAAATGGACGCAAGAAGCATGGGCGTCGCTAGGCCATTTTTAGCGGGGCTATAGCGATTAGCTCCATAAACTGTACACAAATTTGTGATCGCTTAGAGTCAGTCCCCTTTTAAATTTCATATGAAAACGGCGGCAGACTTCATCTCCTCCCTGTCTTTCAGCGCGCTCTTCAATCCGCAGACCGCGGCGGTGCAGCGCGAGTGGACTCAAACAGAAACAGAGGACACAAGGTGTGTGTTTATCGATAGATTGTTATAATATCTGTATCATATCGCCCATTATATTTACTTAAAAATTAATGTCACCATGTTTTGTACACTCCACTTGCGCCTGTGTCTTCTCGTACATAATGTGGTGTAGTCATGAGGTGCTAGTTCAAATTTAAATAATGCTTCTACAAAAAAAGTTTCATCTGCAGATTTGATCTTGTTTAGGGATCTGTGCCTTTGTACATACGGACATCTGACTGCGAAGTAGTGATTGTGTTTCTCAGCAATAGTGTGCACCCTTAATTTACATAGAAAAGAACGTCAGGGGAAAATCTGTTGATGGAAAAATCTCCATACAAGTTCTTTGTGTATTTTTCTTTTTTTTCTGCTTGTTACTTTGCACTTTTTGTTAGAAAATGTTTATTTACTATTTATTCAGGTTTTTTAAGGTATCTTATATTTTGATACTTAATTTCCATGATCTAAATATTCTTAAAAATTAAAAGTTTGTTGTCATTTGGAAGTGTGTAGGCCTTCTTGCATTATTATGCTGTTACATTATGATTATATACTCAGTGTTTTGTATTAAATATTGTTTTGTATTAAATAATGACCCAGATCATGAAATACATTTATTAGCCTTCGAGTAAGGGAAGCACAACTCGGGAAATGAGAGCATCCGAGGAGCATGTGAATGCTATGCATATTTATTTTAAATATTTTTAATGTTCTTTAATGTTATCCATCGTTTTTTTGTGGCTCCTTTTTTAAAAGTATCGGTTAGCACCGGTAACGTTTTAAAAGTATCGATTAGGCACCGGTATCGTAAAAAACCCAATCGATACCCAACCCTAGTTAATAGAACCATTAAGGAAGGAAAATCATTGTATTGGTACTGAATTTAAATCTGGTATCTTTGCATGCAAAAATCCCAAATCCAGATTGGTTGTGCAGAATCTGTAACGGACCAATCAGTGGTGGTGTTTTTTATTTTTATACAGGTTAGTTGTTTAAGCGACATACACCGGTATTGCAGTATTTTAAAAATTCATATCATAACAAAAATAAACACCGGTATCCGGTATGAACCGGTATACCGCCCAGCACTAGTTAGCATGCACTAAAGAGTCTGTGCAAAACTAACACAAACATGTTTAAAAATGATATGCAGCCAAACGACGGAGGTGTAAAAGATTTGCCTGGATTCCGACAGCTAGTTTATGGGTTTGTCCTCTCTTCCACTTGTCTTCCCAACAGGAATTTTATGAACACACAAAGACCCTGTGGCAGGATGAAGGGGTGAGAGCTTGCTTCGAAAGATCCAACGAATATCAACTGATCGACTGCGCACAGTAGTGAGTATTTGGTTTCTTTTAAATGCTGGGTTTGAAGAGCTTTTTATTTGTGTAGAATTATTAGTATTTGAACATAAATGCTTGGGAATATTCTTGGAATTGTTGGTCAGGTTGGTTGCACTCGACTCGCTTGACTTGTTTGTGTGACTTTCGTAGCACGTTGCATGTATCGGACTGATTTATGCATTCAAGAGGGAGGGAAATAGAAATGCGATGAGTGCAGAAGTGACAGAATGTGAAAAAGAGACACTGATGAGTGCTAGACAGATAGGCGCTTTCAGAAGACACAGAGGTATGAATGTTGGGTATACATTGAAAGGTTTCCTGCATTGTGGCGCATATGTGTGTGTGTCCTGTCCTCTCCCACAGCCACTGGTGGTTGTTGTGGATCAGACGCTGGCCTGAGCCGTTTAGACCGGAAGTGGCCCCTCCATCGCTCCCCGCTGCACGCTTATGTAAACGTAGAGCGGTGAAAGAGAGAGCTATTTTTAACTCGCTGGTTCACTCACTTGCAGCAGAAGGAGACGGTTTGAGAGGCAATCCGCAAGTATCGCGAATAATGCATCTCCTCTTTTGAAGGAGAAAAATGAGCTTGAAGTGATAATGGTGGCTACTTGCAACTGTTTGGAGGGCAACTCCCAACCTCCCAGACTGCAAAGAGGGACGGAGGAGAATGACAGTGCTGTTTCGAGCACGCTCGCGCACGTACACGCGTTCAGCAAGAAACCAGCGTCGTCAAGCGCTCGTCCTCTTATGAGCTCATTTTTGTCTGAGCGTTTTCAAGGCTCTTCCTGTCACATGGCCAGGTGTCCATATTGAACGTGTGCATGCGTTCGTGTTTTCATTCACCTCCGTTTCTTTGTATGGTCGAGCCACAGCAGTAACGTGGGCTCAATAACGTTATCATTGAGACAAACACAAGAATGGCTACGCAAAGCGTGAGAAGAATACTGAAGTATCGCAGTTTGATTTTTTCCCTCTCCTGACTAGTTCTTCCTGCATCTGCTAGTAGCGTCACTGGAGTGACAGAAAATGGCTGAGATAGAAAAACAAAACAATGAGAATAGTTTCATTAGGGTTATGCTGTTTTAAGAGGAAGCGTGTGTGTATTACTGAAGCAAGTTAACTATGTTTGTACAAGCTTCCTTTATTTTTGTAAGCTAGAGAATAAGAAACGTTTACTTGGGGTTAAAGTGTTTTCAGGGCAAATGTGCGTAAAAAGCTATTTTCTGTTATGGTGTTCTCATATACTAAAGAAATGTTGTATTTCTCCCTTTTTGCATTTTGTTTGCATAAATTCAATAAGTGTATTTAGAAAAGAAGAAATGTTTCTTTAATGTTTTTTTTTTACATATTTTCTATATTTCCATAAATTATTCAATTATATTTCCATGAAATTGAGAAATGTTCCATTCCTGTCTGTTAACATTTTGTAAATGCAAATCAAGTGTGATTTTTTTAAATTTTATTTTCTTTTTTTAAATTCCTGACAAAGGTCTCATGACCGAAACGTTTGTATTCCTCCTCTTTTGCATTTCATTTGCATAAATTCAGTGTGTTTTTACATGCTTCCTATATTTCCATAAAACAGAGAAATGTTTCTATTTTGTAAATGCAAATCATTTTTTTAAATTCCTGACAAAGGTCTCACGACCGAAATGTTGCCACCTCAGGAAATATTGGATTTCTTGCAGGCTACAGCAGTATGCAGGATTTTTTTTTCTTTTCCATTATTTCCTGTATCCAGCGCACCTGCCTGCAACCATTCAGGTGTGCAAGAGGTGTTTGAATAGAGAAAGCATGTGTTTAATGTGGACAGTAATTTCTTGGAGCTTTCTATATTTTTGTAAACCAGAGGAATGTTCTTGCTTGTTTGCATTTCGTTAGCACCATGAAAGAAGGGTTTAGGTTTTTCAGAAAAAGTCAAAAGAAAAAAATAAACCACAGGGCTTTGTAAATTTGTAAACCAGAGAAGCGTTATTTTGTGGCATTATATCTCAAAAAATCATTAGGGTTATGCTGTCAAAGAAAAATAATTTGTATAAAAAAAAAAAAAATGGAGAATATTTTCTACAAGCTTACCGTGTTTTTATAAATCAGAGAAGTATTGTGTTTCATTTATTTATTTTTTTAAATTTACTTATTCTTTATTTTCAGTTAAATCATTTATAGTTCCAAACATTTTTTTTTTCTTTCAAAACCCTGGGCAAACAGAGTCCTGGGTTATCTTGCTTCACGTTTCACACTGCTTATACTTCACCCAGGGTTAAAAGTTAATACTGGGTATTCATAAGTTGCGTTTCACACTGCACATTCCTAAACCCCAGGTTAAAGTCCTTATTTTCATATTTGCGGTGTCAGTGTCACTGATTGGACGAACGCAGCAGGCAACCCGTTTACATGGCTTTTCTCGCATCAGTTATCCTGTCAGTTAAAAAGTGTTGCCACGTGGGTCCTCCTTGGCAGGTTTCATTGCTAACGCACATTTACTGACAGTGACCGGATACAGTACTTTCAAATGACACAAACAACAGGGCTTGACAGTGCAAGCGTTTTGACTAAAAATAGATGTGCCAAATGTAAAATGTATTTAGGAGCATGAGTGCGAATAAAATTTCTTAAATGGTCCAACAGACATCTTATTTTAAAGGTCCACTGAAGTGCTTTGAAACGCAGCGTTATTCAATGTGTTGACATAATTTCAACTGAAACGGGAAGACAGGGCAGGACATATCAAGCAGCCCTTTTTTAAATAGCCAATAGTGTTTTGTTTATATCACAGCTTGGGCTAGAGCCGTTGACGTAAACGCTTTGAAAGACCACATTACGAAAATCAATGAGATGCTTTTGATGCAGAATCGCAATTACATTGTGGCACCTAACAACAAACAACTAACTGTAAGAATAACAGTCTCCTTCTCACTCCAGTTGACCCTTCCCCCTAAGTTACTGTTGCTACGTCCGACAAGCCATGCCGCTCTCATGCCACACATTCTCACGCAGTGAAAAATACATTGCGGAGCAAAGAGGAAACTGACAACACGACGACAGACAAGACAGAGCAGGTTACTTCTGGTATGAATCAAGTGTCAGCTTTCAAATTTTTTTTTTTTTTAAAGATATTCAAACAATAAATACAGTTTTGTGGCTCATTAATGTGTTGTGACAGATCACTGTAGCGCCTCAGTTCAAGCGGCACGTGAACCGATCGTCTTTTCATATTTACTTAAAGTGCCAAATAAACATGAAAACATCAGAAGGTATTTTATTTCAACCACGGAAAGATGTCAGTACACACAATTTTTCAAGTTTAAGTCCACCGATTCAGCGTTATGATTGGTCAGACTGCCTGTCAATCAAGCTCCCTGTGAAGGGTCACTTCTTATTTTTCCCTCAAATGCTGTACTGTTTACACAACGAGCACTTCCTCTTATTGACATGACATGAGCCACGCTGTTCAATTTCTGATTGGTTGTCTGTTGCTAAGCATCCAGCAGTAACATGCTAACACTACTCCGTTTCACACTGTACAAGATTGGCACCGCAATGCGGGGGTTAACACCACAAAAGACATGTGCGAAAGAAACGTTCTTTTACCCAGGCTTAAAAGTGATGTTTAGAACAAAAATAACCCGGGGTTAAGTGCAGTGTGAAAAACCCTAGGGAGTGCAAAAGATTTACAACTTTCTATAAGATTTCTGTGCCTTTTAAGTAGGGAAAGTATAAATACTGCAATTTAGTAAGAAGCAATAGTTTATGTACAATATTAATCATAATTAAGCAGTTCTCTTTGCTGCAATATTTATTGATACCATCTTCAATCATTTCAATATTTTTACAATAAAGTAGTAGGTTTTGACATGATGAATTTTGGTGATTATATTTTTATTATCCACTTACTATATTGTTAGACGTCAAAGTATCAATACAGTTGCTTTGTGTGGTGTTTAGGAAGGTGCAATATTGTAGGTAATAATAAAGCAATTAGATCCATCCAAAACCTTTTTATACTAATTCTTAATGGGCAACATTTCAAGGCTATAGTTAGTTGATGGGACAGATATATAAAAAGTTAATTATCCATTTGTGTGTGTGTGTGTGTGTAGTGTTTCTATTACTTGCTTTACTTGCATTTCTATTTTTCCGAAACCAAATAAATGTTGCATTCCTTCTTGCATGAGTTTCAGAGGGTAAATTGTTTTAATAATGTTGTCTGTTTCAAAGAAACAAAAATTATTTTCTACAAACGTTTTTTACAAAAAAATGTTTTCTGTGAAGCAGATAAACGTAGCATTCTTGCTTGTCCCGCAGTTCCTAAACATAAGGCCAGCGCATGGAGAGAGAAAATTCCTAAAACATCCGCCATGTTTCTTTCTGAGCGTCTCTCTCTCTCTCTCTCTCTCTCTCTCTCTCTTTTCTTCCCCCATCCCTCTTTTGCGAAACCAGACCTGCTTTTTCTCTCGTTCTCTCTTTTTGCTTTCCCCTCTCTTTTTCTGACTGGCCCTTCTCCACCTTTCCCTCCTCCCTCCAACCCTCTCTCTCTCTCTCTCTCTCTCTCTCTCTCTCTCTCGCTCCACTCCCTCTGTCTTTCTTTTTCTCTTCACTCTTTCTCTTTCTGTCTGTCTCTCCCTCTCTCTGGCCTCGCTCCAGTCACACAAGATTTGGAGCTGATAGTCTATTTATAACGCCTGTGGTTCTGTCGCTATGACAACCGAGCTGGAGGCCAGGGCGCCAGGGAGCTATTTTTGGAGCGCCGCTGTAATGTCAGACACAGCCTTCTCTCTTTTCTTTCTCTTCCACCGCTCCCTCTCTCCCGGTTTCTGCTGCTTCCTTACTTTAGCGTTGCAAACTTACTGAAGTGTGTGTGCATTCGCATCTAAGAGAGGGAAAATGTGGTGGAGGCCATCGATTAATTCACGATTTAACATATTTAAAGTGATAAATATAGCTAGCTTTTTTTGTAAGTTGCATTTCATAAAATGCTGAACTTCAAATCTGAC